AGGGCTGGGCAAGGTGGCTCAGGCCTGTAATCCCAGCGCTTTGGAAGGCTGAGGTGGGTGGATCATTTGAAGTCAGGAGTTTGAGACCAGCCTGGGCAACGTGATGAAACCCACATCTCTACTAAAAATACTAAAAAAAAAAAAAAAAAAAAAAAAAAAAAAAATTAGCCAGAAATGGTGGTAGGTGCTTGTGGTTCCAGCTATTCAGGGGGTTAGGGAAGGAGAATCGCTTGAACCCAGGAAGCGGACGTTGCACTGAGCTGAAATTACACCACTGCACTCCAGCCTGGGCGACAGAGGGAGACTCCATCTCAAAAAAACAAAAGACAGAAAACAAAACGAAGTAAAGACATTAGTGAGGTGTTTGTTTTGACACATCTTTGGCATATTAGGCATTCCATTTCTTAGGATGGAAGGCGTATTTATCTTAACTATGTTTACAGAATAACTAACAAACATTTTGGAATTAACCTGTGTATAAAGGTGTAGACAACACCCTATTAAATTCTTGCCTTTTTGTGTGTGTGTGTGGCTTACTGTGGTTTTGTTGTAGAAGTGTGGGGCTGTTCAATAATAGTAAATGATAAGACAAAAATGCCTGTTTCTATAGGTTTACCATCTAATGAGAGCATCCTCCTCTTAGATTCTTTTTCTGTCCCTTTTAAATTCTATTATGTTTGTTTCTGAGGAGTTACACAGACAACAATTATCATGAGAGTCAGTTGAATGTCGGGGATACTTTCTCCATTGTACTTTACATTTTTTTTTTTTTTTGCTGTGACCTTGCCTATACTTTGATTATTTTTCCTAGCTACTACTTCTCACACTGTAGTGTGTGTGTGTGTGTGTGTGTGTGTGTGTATATATAAAATTTTTATTTCCTTCTCATCTCAATAGTGAAATGACTACTGTAAAACGTTGCTTTCATTCTGTTGATCCAGACTGAGACTGGAAGGAAAAAATCCTGATTCCTCTTTTATTTCCTGAGAAAAGAAAAATAGTTCAGAGCAGTCTGAGGAATGTGAGTTGTGCAAAATTTATCAGGCCCAGAGAGACATGAGTATGGGACTTACCCATAGTGGTGGTGGTGGTGAAGGGGGGCAATTACTTAAAGCAATTTTGTTCCTAACTAGCTGCCTTGTCCATTATGTCTATGTTCCTGAAATTTGCGTTACAAAGAACAATATACGGTCAATCAACAGCTTCTGTTATTTTAACATAAATTCTTGGCAAATAACTTAGGTACTACCTTTTCCTTTCCTTTAAACATTTACTTGTAAGTGCTGCTAATGGGAGTATATATTTAGGGCAAGTTGAATATATGCTCTCTGGTTGTAGTCCTCAAATTTCAATCAAATGGGCTTTTCACTTAAGTTTGTTTCAGTTTTTTCCTTTAGGTTGGCACTCCTAAACCTGGTCTGTCAGCTATCTCCAGCTCAACCCCCAGAAAGATTAGATTACCTGTGTGTTTTCTTTGTACTTTAATTTTTTTTTTTTTTTTTTTTTTTTTTTTTTTTTGAGATCGAGTCTCTCTCTGTCAGCCAGGCTGGAGTACAGTGGCACAATCTTGGCTCACTGCAAACTCCACCTCCCAGGTTCAAGTGATTCTTCTGCCTCAGCCTCCTGAGTAGCTGGGATTACAGGTGCGCACCACCATGCCCGGTTAATTTTTGTATTTTTAGTAGAGATGGGGTTTCAACATTTTGGTCAGGCTGGACTCAAACTCCTTGTGATCTGCCCACCTTGGCCTCCCAAAGTGCTGGGATTACAGGCATGAGCCATACTGCCCGGCATATACTTTAATTTTTTTCCATCTTCCTACCCGATCTTTTCTTAGTTCTTTAAAGCATCTTTTCTTTTGAGACTTTGGCTCAAAAGAGGATGGGGAAGGGAACACTGGATTTCTTCCTTGATTTGAATACATTAAATCTATTATGTCAGTGAGAGTATTCTGAAATTTCCATTCCCCAAATTTGCTTACGTTAGCATAAAATATAACTTTCATGCATTCATTATAGTGATGTGTAACTGAAAATTCCAAAGTCCTGATATACTTGTGGTAGCAGTTACTAAGTGGGCAGTACTGGGCAGCAAATCTGCTGAGTTAGGTGCATTGCACCCATAACTCTTAAAATAAGCCACAGATCCATGGGAAGTTTTTTTGAAACATTACAAACCAATAAAAATTGGCCCTTCACATTTTCTTGAAATTTTTTTCAGGAAGGATTCCCTAAATATGACTAATGGCAGAGAAGTTGAAGTAGGAATTAATTTTCTTTCCTTCTTTCATCTAAGGGTGGTGGCTGTTGGGGAGAACAGTCCTGGTTGCAGGAATTGAGATTTAGATTGACTTTTGGGTGGTTCCCACTCTTGTTTTATCTGAATTGATTTTTAAATTCTTTGCAGATAAAAAAGGTGTGTGTCATTTCCAAGATAATATGGGAGTTGACAACAGTAATTGTTGTTTAAAACTTTTCTTTCCTAAGTTATTTCTTATTTTGAATTTGCACTTTCTGCCTATAAGTTCTATTTATAATAAGTAGAAGAATCTATTAGGGTGGGTATATCATAAATGATATCATAAAAGTTGCTGTTCATTTAAGAAATACAGTGTCTTGATGTGATGTCATCCATAGGTTCTTTGAAACTATGACTTTAGACACTTAATCCTTAGGAAGATAGCAAGGCATAAATTGTGTTTCAGTGGTGGTTTCAGGACAGTTCTGCTGCAGAAATTAAGCTAAGTTGGTTGGTTTTGGCCATATCTGAAACAACTAACATTGTGTGAAGAACTTTATGCTGATGTTCTAAAAGCCCTGGGTAGTTTCTGAGACTTTTTGCTTAGGGCAATGAGACAATTAGAGTTGTATGCTTAAAAAAATATATATGGTCAGCCGGGTGCAGTCGCTTACGCCTGTAAGCCCAGCACTTTGGGAGGCCAAGGTGGGTGGATCACCTGAGGTTAAAAGTTCAGGACTAGCCTGGCCAACCATGGTAAAACCCCATCTCCACTAAAAATACAAAAATTAGCCAGGTGTGATGGTGGGTGCCTGTAATCCCAGCTACTGGGGAGGCTGACAAAGGCGAATTGCTTGAACCTGGGAAGAAGCGGAGGTTGCATTAGCTGAGATCATGCCATTGCATTTTAGCCTGGGTGACAAGAGCAAAACTCCTTTTCAAAAAAACAAGCAAACAAAAAAACATGGTCTAGGTTGTATATAAAAAGGGTTTGAAGTAGGGTGATAGTAGTGAGGTTTTTGTTTTTTTTTACAGAGTCTTGCTGTATTAGCCTGGAGTGCAATGGCACCATCTCAGCTCACTGCAATCTCTGCCTCCTGGGTTCAAGCCATTCTCTTGCCTCAGCCTCCTGAGTAGCTGGTATTACAGGCACCCAGCTAATTTGTGTATTTTTAGTAGAGACGGGGTTTCACCATGTTAGTCAGGCTGGTCTCGAACTCCTGACCTCAGGTGGTCCACCCACCTTGGCCTCCCAAAGTGCTGGGATTATAGGCATGAGCTATCATGCCCAGCAGTAGTGGGGTTTTTAAAGGAAAGTGTCAACACCAAGGGTAAGGCTGAGGGGCCAGGGGAAGAATGAAGTGATCTTGGCTTTTCAAATCTGGACAGGTGGTGAGTAGGAAGGCAGTGATTTTAATAACAGAGCTGGTGAACACAGAAGGGAAGGCTTTATTTTATTTTATTTTTCGAGACAGGTCCTTACTCTGTCACCCTGGCATGATCAGGACTCACTGCAGCCTTGACTTCCCCTGGCTCAAGTGATCCTCCTGCCTCACCCTCCTGAGTAGTTGGGACCACAGGCATGTGTCACCACAACTAGCTGTTTTTTTGTTTGTTTGTTTGTTTGTTTTTTTGTAGAGATAGGTCTTGCTACATTGCCCACGTGGGTCTTAAACACCTGGGCTCAAGTGATCCTCCAGCCTCAGTCTTTCAAAGTGCTGGGATTACAGTTGTGAACTCCTACACCCAGCCTTTGGAAGACTTTCCAAGAATGATAAGGGATCCGATTTTGGAAATGTAAAGCTAAGAAACAGGAAAATTCCAACTCTACTTACAGATAAAATTCTAATTTGGAGCTGGGCATAGTGGCTAACACCTGTAATCCCAGTGCTTTGGGAGGATGAGGTGGGAGGATAGCTTGAGACGAGGAGTTCCAGACCAGTGGCCTGGTCAGCAAAGAGAGACCCCGTCTCTACCAAAACTAAATAAATAAATACTAATTTTCTCTGCAATTGGAGATATCAGTGGAGTCTCAAGAACGTTCTGACTATAGATTGTTGACATGAGTTCAGTAGCTAAATACATCTATGGTAGGCATAAGTAGAGTAAGTGGTGGAGAAAAGTTGGAAAAACAGGAGGGAAGATTAACCTCTGACCATTGGGGGATCACAGCTGGGTTTCAGACGATTCTTCAGTTCCTAGTGCTGGAGCTAGTGTCTGTAAACACGTTTTCCTCCTCCCTCCAGGCCTCCTACGTACTTAGGACCTTTCAAGAACATTGGACATTGCCGCAAGCACACAAACACCTCAGATTTAATTTCTCAGATTCTCCGCTGGCTGGCTTCTGAAACCGCTGTAAGAACAGTCATCTGGGTTCATAGGCTTGTGACAAGGCGGGGAAACGCTTTGAAAAGTGCCTATCTCTAAACAAACATCAGGTACCGGTACCGGTCTCGCAACTTTTCTCCAGGAGATGTGCGCATCTGTTCAGCGCGTACAGCCCAGACTATTTTCGTTGTTCTCCGCCCCGCCCGCCTTCTGCCACGGACAGTTACAAACCTGGTCGATAATTATCTTGGGAGGACGCGACGTCCCAGCTAAGAACTCGGGTCAGAGATCCAAGAGGCAGAAGGATCTCGGGGAGGGGCAGGGGCCGGGCTTGACCTAGCAGCTGGCAGCGCCGCCGATTGGTGGAGGAGAAGGTTGTTCCCGCAGGGCGGCCGCTGATTGGCTGCTGGAGGCAGAGGCGTGACGTCTTCAGAAGTTGAGCAAACACCTCCTACTTCCCGGGCTCCCATCCCAATTTCGGCTGGGAATTCGGAGCCTGCTCTGCAGAGGCTCGGAAGATCCGAGGCGGCGGGAGACCAGTCGGCGCCCAGAGCGGACGAGGTGCGGAGGGGTCCCCGTGGAGGCTGAGCAGACGCGCGGGTGGGCTCAGCCTGTGAGATGCGCTGGAGATCGCGGCCCGGACTCGGGCTGTCGCTGGGACGGGCCCGCGAGCCCGGCTCTCGGGTCCCGGCGCCGCGAGGCTTCCCAGCAGGCTGGCCGGGCCGAGAGACGGAGGAGGTGGCGAGCTTTCGGGCCTCGCTGCAAGAAAGGGCGTGAGAACGGAAGCGCCGAGCGTTTCCCTGAGAGGAAGGGAGGGAGAGCTGTCAGCTCAGCTCCAGTGTTTCCAAGTAGAAAGGCGAGGGATTGCAAATCGGATTGCTTTTCTTTCTTTTTTGGCGGGTAGTGGTGGTGCAATGGCTGCGGAATAAAGAACTGGGGAAGCGGCGGAAAGACCGCCTTGTTCGTCTTTGGACCGCGTGCTTAGCGGGGTTGGCTGGCTGCGGAGGCGGTGGATGGATGGAGATTTCAGGGCGGTTCTTTCCCCTTTCTCTCCCAGCGCCCGGGGTAGCCAAACTCTGCTCACAAACTTCTCTCCTGGTCCATCTGGGCTGTCCGCTGTCCGAGACACAGACCCGCCTAGCAAGCTGCTGTGCGCTGTCCATTCTGCAGCAAGGATCGCAGAGGGGTGGAAGTTGGGCGCCTTGCCCGTCGGCATTTCCCGAGCCCCTGAGCCCTGCGGGGCTGTGCGGGCCTTAGTGAGCGCTCGCGCTGGAGGGGGCGCGGGAAGGAGCAGTTTACCCACCCTGTTCTCTTGAACGGGGCTGGATGTCTGTCCTGACAGCTTCAGAAGAAGAAATGCGCTCTCCAGACACTGATTTCGGGGGATTGGCGACTGGGAGGAGCGGGAGAGAGAAAGCGCGCGCACGAGAGAATCAATTAGTTCAGTAACTTGAACAAGGATTAACATTTTTTGGTGTTGTGGGTCATCAGCGGAGAAGGTGCAGCTGTGAGATGTAGTTATACACAGGACTGAATGCTTATTGACTGAAGCTGTGGCTTTCCAATGCTTTATTTAAAAAAAAAAAAAAAAAAACACTAATGGCACTTTGGTGTTTCTGGGTTTTTGCATTTTGTCCCTTGCATTGACCTCCTTCTTTTTCCCACGAAGATGAGTGAATCTAGGGCTACATGACTTGACTGTGTAACCTGGTGGCCATTCTGCAAAATGAGTTAGGTGGACAAAAATTAAAGCCAATTTACCAGAGTCATTTTCCTACTTTCCAGATAATCATGTTTGTTATCAGTCTCCGTGCTATTGATGATGGCATGTTCAGAACTTTGATTTATTTGTAATTAATTTTTTTTCCTCACTAGTCCTTTAACAGACCTTGGTTCAGAATTTTGGAAATGACCTTTGGTGTGTAAAAAGCCCCCATTTAACAAAACGTTTCATGTTTTTCACATATTCTTTTATTAATTTTTTCATAGAAATAACATTACAAATGGTGGTAATATTCTAGGTAAGGCCACAAAAGAGTTTATGCAATTCATGAAATCATGGAAACAAACATTTGGAATGAGAAATAATCCCAAAACATTATTACCACGTTCATCCGATTTAAGGTGCCATCAATTGTAAGATGCATCCCTATTTCACAGATGCTAAAATGTGAAAAAAAAGTCTTAAATCTGTTGAAATACAACATTAAAATGGTAATATATTTATCTTGAACATCCATGCCTAAAGTTTGAAGTTGAAGAAAGGACTTGTTGGACTCTATGTTTTTTTTCTAGAATAATATAAGGGAGGGGGGATTAATCTGGAGCCATGGTGAAGGCCTTACTATGGTGTGACAGAGGAAAGAAATGTGTGTGGTGTGGTTGTGCTCACTTTCGAGAATTAGGCAAGCCTGGGGGCTTTTTTTCCTTAATTTTTATTGTTTATGACATACAAGCAATGCTCAGCACTTTATGCATATTAGCTCAATTAAATATCACAAGGGTCCTAAGAGGTAAATGTTAATATGACTCATTTTGCAGATGATACACAGACAGGTTAAGTTACCAACCAAGGTCACAGAGTAAGTTTGTCCACAGAGGAACCCAGGAGAGAAACCAGTATTCCTTTGACGTATCTATCTTCTGTTGCAAGCTCTTGGCTTCTGGTTCATGCTGTTAATACAGATAACTTAGATGAACATCCATTCTTTCTTGATTGTGTTTTTGGTATTTTGTTTTCCTGTTTGGTGTACATTAGCTAGAAATTCATAAGTCAGAGTGCTTATTTATGGACATTTCTAGTGTTTTTGTAATTCAGTGTCCAGTCACTACTATGCTTAATAGAATCAGCATATCAGAGCCGAAACGGACTTTAGTATTATATTTTAGTCTGGGTAAGGAAACTGAAGTCAAGAGGAGGAATCCTATATCTAGTTATGTGTCTCAGCTCTCATACCTGGGTTTTCCCACCATACTGTATTTCATAACATTTGTTGATCTATGAGATCTTAGAAGGGAATCGAGCTTTTTTTTTATTTTTTTATTTTTTTTTTTCAGAGTTAGGGCAATGTGAGTCTCTTCTTATTCATGTGCCTATTTTTGTTTATTTTCTTGCTACAGATCTCTATAATGTTTATTAAATTTGTCCATTGATTTATTTATTCTTTCTTAAAACACTTGCTGTTTTCCTATTTGCTAGTCATTGGGAATATAGAGATGAATAAAACATAATTCATACACATTTACAGTTTAGCAAAGAGATAGACAAGTAAGCAGATAAGCATTTTGTACTAGACTCCAGTTTAGAACTAATGTTGTATTCCATATCAGTGAAGCTAAAACTATGAGCTAGAGACCAGGAGAAACATGTGTCATGTATTTGGATGCTTTTGAGTAGCTGAAAATTCTCAGACCAGATTAATTAATACTAATAGACCTCTTCTCCCAAAGTCTACCATTTTCTTCTTAGTCTGGTAATGAATTTTATAAAGGGTTTAACATGGAAGCATTAAAAGAAATGTACCCACGCACAGGAAGTGAAAGTATGGAGACTGTGTTAATGCAAGCCCAAGCCTAGTTCTAGCAAGTCTTGAAATGGGGAGGGATTTGGATTAGTTACAGGTCATCACCTGGTGCTCTGTTAATTCTGAAACTCTTTGAACCTCTCCAAAAATATTATGGTTTGGATACCAAGTATCTAGTGTAGGCTAAGACTCATAGCCATAGAGCTGCCCATGCTTATTTACAGACACCAGGGCTTCTTGGGAAACCATGGGTTTTTAAGATATATGTTTATATATTTTTTAATTACTTGGAAGGGTGAATATAAATAATTAGTGTTGTTCATCCATAAACTTATTTTCCTCATCTAAAGACTCTATTACACCATTCTTAGTCTTTCAGTAATTAATCACAATATATGCCTGATTATTGCAAATAATTTGGCATTGAGAAATCTCCCCATGTGATTTGATAGTTTTGGTTTGAGTCACTAAATTATGTTGTAGTGAAATTATTTTAAAGATCTAAAATAGATGGATAAAGAGCACATTCTTAACTACGGGGATTAAAGTTGGAACATTTGGCCTGAATTTCTTCCATGATGAATGTGTAATCCTTTATACATATCCCAACGGAAGTGACAGAAATTAAGAGGAGCAATGCTTACTTCATTCTTACGCTCCTGTAATGCTTGTGTATTGTTTTGGGTAGGTAGGTGATCTGTAAGCTTAAAAATTATTCCGATTAGATTGATCGATCCTATGGAAAGGGTTGAAGAGACTTAGAAGATTTTTGATATTTGATGGAAGAGTAAAAAGTTCTATGAAAATCTCAGCTTTCATCTACCCACTTCTCGTATAAAAACTGCAAAAATTGGCCGGGCACGGTGGCTCAAGCCGGTAATCCCAGCACTTTGGGAGGCGGAGGAGGGTGGATCACGAGGTCAAGAGATCGAGACCATCCTGGTCAACATGGTGAAACCCCGTCTCTACTAAAAATACAAAAAATTAGCTGGGCATGGTGGGCCTGTAATCCCAGCTACTCGGGAGGCTGAGGCAGGAGAATTGCCTGAACCCAGGAAGCGGAGGTTGTGGTGAGCCGAGATCGCGCCATTGCACTCCAGCCTGGGTAACAAGAGCGAAACTCCGTCTCAAAAAACAAAACAAAACAAAACAAAAAAAAACCCTGCAAAAATGAAATGTACCTTTTGTTTGTTTGTTTTTTGAGACAGTCTCAGTTTGTTGCCCAGGCTGGAGTATAGTGGCATGATATTTACTTACTGCAAACTTTGCTTCCTGGGTTCAAGTGATTTTTGTGCTTCAGCCTCCCGAGTAGCTGGGACTACAAGCATGTGCCACCACTCCGGGCTAATTTTTGTATTTTTAGTAGAGAGAGGGTTTTGCCATGTTGCCCAGGCTGGTCGCTAATTCCTGACCTCAGGTGATCTGCCTGCCTTGGCCTCCTAAAGTGCTGGCATTACAGGTGTAAGCCACCATGCCTGGCCAAATACATCATTTTATGGCATAAATACTGACTGTAAAGTAGCAGAGAAAAAAATCTTAGTCAAGTTACATTTAAAAAGTTATACCAACAAGAACAACAGACTGTCTTATTAAGACATTCATTATGATAAATCATAAAAATATATAATAGAGGCTTGGAAAATGCTTTCTATAAAACAGAAAAAAATCCCCTATTTCTACGGGCCTCACTATTCTCATTTGTAATACTGGGTTTTAGGTTATATTCTATGAGGCCCCTTTTGACTCTAATATTTGGTTATAATCAGTACTTAATAATTCACCATCAGATATTGATCGGCACCATTTAATTAGATAAAATGAATTCCGAACATGGGCAGGGACTGGATTACTGCTTTATAAAGAAGTGCATCATGCTGTGCATATCTTAAGTAGCCCCCCAATTTTTTTTTAATTAAAAGAAGAGAATCAAAAGCACTTGTGCCATAATCAGTGTACAAAAGATTTTATTGTGATAACTCTATAAAGAGACTTTCTGGATTTCATTATAATTTAAATATTAGAAAATATTCATGCTATAAGCAAATGACTAGGTACTTTTATTTTAATATATGTAATTGTACGAAAGACCAGTCTGCTCACACTCTGAAAGGACCCTTCTAACCACACATGAGATTCTCTGCCATGAGAGTGGCTTTTCTTAAATATAATCTTTATAAGTACATTTTAAAGAATATGCTTTACTTTGGTTTCTCCATGTGATTTAGAATGATGGTGTACTCAGTGACCATAGGACAGCTCATGGGCATTGAAAAAAAATGGTGGGGTATGTATGGAGTGCCGAGCTTTGAGCTCCCTGTCTCTGTGTCTTTCTCTCTCTCGGTGTGTGTCATTTTCCTTCCGTTTCTCTGGAAAATAATACAAAATACAAAAAACATTCAAGCATGCTCTTTCCTCTGTTTCTCATGTTTTTGTTGCAAAATTAGGTAATTCATAAATTAAAAGATTAAGTCTTGCTTCCTTGAGAAATGGAAAGATAAAATAGCATCATAGAGTATGTTCTATTGCTACTGATCAGTCTTCACTATCATCTTCCTGTTTCAGTACACAGCAGTTCCTTCTTATCCAAGTTTTCACTTTCCATGGTTTCAGTTACCCATGGTCAATCTGGTCTGAAAATAAGTGAATAAAGTAACTAAGATATGTTGAGAGAGAGAGAGAGACCACATTTGCATAACTTTTATTACCGTATATTGTTGTAATTGTTCTCTTTTATTAGTTATTGTTGCTAATCTCTTACATGCCTAATGTATAAATTAAATTTTATAATAGATATGTATATATAGGAAAAAACACAGTATATATAGAGTTTGGGACTATCAGAGACTTCAAGCATCCACTGGGGGTCTTGGAATGTATTATCCACAGATAAGCAGGGGCCCTTGTGTCTCTCTGCAATTCACTATAATGTTCCCATGACTTTTAGAGACATTTCAAATTTCTGATAGATCTTAGGTAAATAAAAGTGTACACCTTAGTGGTGTTCTGTTTTACAAAAACAGAGAAGAAATATTTTAAATTTGAAATGTTGACCTGCGTGTATCGAAGGGAAGACTGTTGCAATTTGTCAGAGGAAGAGTTTTGTACCCTGCCCTTGCCAGTATGACACTTCTCTTTCTCTATTTTCCTTCCCTTTGTTCTCTCTAGCTGTTTATTTTTCCCCCGTTTCTGCCTCCTGCTTTTCTACATCCTCCTTGTTTGTGTTACAAGCTGCTATCAGCACCTGACACTGTCAGGTAAGCTCACTAGAGCTGGTGGTGGGTAAACCATGATCTTCCCTCCTTGCTTCATTGAAGGCATTCCAGAAATATACATTGAATTTACTTCCTGATATTCTTGAAAAATACCAAAAAATCCAGGACAAAAAAGCCAAAGCATAAAGCAATCCCTGTTGGCATTTCCCTGAAATACTAGACACCTGAAGTACAATTTAGAAATTCTCACTATTTCCTATGTTTTGAAGACCTTAGAAGCAGATGAACTGTAGATCTTGAAAGTTCTATGCTGAGACCAAGTTTTAAGGTTCAAGCATTATCTAGCAGTTATACTATAATCACCTTTTTTTTTTCTAAGCACACAGAAATCCAGAATTTACCTTGGCAGTTACTCAGAAATGATTTTCAGTATAAAGCAGAAAAAGCAGCAAGAGAGGCACCACATGCTGAGGGGAGAATGGATAATTCACTCAAACTATTGAAGTAAAAGCCATATGGATCTGATTTCTTGCTGAAACGAGAGCTGGCTAGAGTAACAGCATGGGCTGAATCTATATGATATAAATCTGTAGGCTTTGGCAAAGAAGAGAAAATTCCAGATGTTAAACATTAAACTAGGAATCCTGCTTCTGCTTAAAAGCAACAGATGCTATCTGACTCCAGTTCAGTTTCTTCATCTGTCAAATGGGGATTGTATCTGCTTAATAAGATTTTTACAGGTAGGAAATAAAATGATCTCTGTAAAGTGATCAGCATAGAGCTTGGCATGTAATACTTCATCAATGATAACTACTGTTACATTTGTTTAAATAATGAAAGTTACAGAAATTATGATTTAAGCCTTCCATGCAAAAAGTGAAAGTGAAAGTAGCTTCTCAAATGAATTGAAGCTCAGTCCCAGCCACTTCTGTCTTTTCCCCCAGTCCTCTAAGGTAGTTGGCCTTTGCGAGTATATATGTATATGTTACAAGTGTCTGTGTCTGTGTCTGTCTCTGTCTGTATCTGTGTCTCCTGCTTCCCCCCCATCCCAGACAAAGGAGGCGGTGGGAGAAGGAGCAGGGATTGTCACTGAGTGAGGAATGAATGAGGTTAAAAATCAAGCTTGGGCTCGGGGAGGGATTACATTTCCTGCACATGTTCCTCCTATTAGAGTCAATAATTTTGATTCATAATAAAAGATACAGGGTTATGTAGTCACCTGTGAATTTATGAAACACAGCCCCTGCTGGCAAGATGGTATAATTCCTGGACATGTGTGTGTGTTTAAAGGAATCACTATCTTTGGAATTGGTTTCATTAGGAACTAAAGAATTCAGGTTCTATGGGACATTGCGCTTTTTCTTTTGGCTTCAAGAAAACTGAATGTTACAGGTTTGGGTTTGAGTTTAGTGCGATCTCTTTCAAAAGCACATGAATAAACAAAAAAATTAGATGCAGTATATAACAGTCTTTTACTGAAATGTTGGTAATCTGTTTTACATACATATTTTGCCCTGAATAAAAGCCTGAACTCCTAATCATCAGCAGTTTCTTTGCTGTGTGAAGCTTTCTTTCTTTTTGGACCTCTTCTTAAAGCCTTCTTAGCTGGTCTCTTTGCTATTTGGTCTGTTCTCTGATTCTATTGTAAAGTGTCCTATAAATTTACCATCTGGGCAGCTAGTAGTTGTTTGCCCCGAGGAAATGTACTTGTATGTTTAATTGTTTGCTCAAGCCTTCCCCATCCATCAAGTTGGTCCTCTTACGAGATCGCAGTCTGATGTAAAAGAAATGTGCTTCATGAAAGTTTTTCTATATATGTTAGCAGTGATGAGTAGGAAATTTCTAGAAGGTACAAAAATCATTCAGTCCTTATATTTTGCTGCCAATTTTACATGGAAAACTAAGTTTTAGCATTCAAATGATCCTGCAAATCATCATCTGAAATGATATTTGGCTACAAAATGTGGGTAACCATTTGAAGATGGATAGAATGCTGTTAAACCTGGATATTTATGCTTTAAAAATTTATCTAAGATTTATTCTGCATAGGAATAAATGAACTTGTATATAAATAAACCTGTGTATAAAACTTCAGGAGCATCTGGATGAAAATAAAATGTTTGCTAGTGTCACTTTAATTTCTAGAATTTGGTTAAAGGTATTATTTCCACCATATTCTATGAATCCTTCAGCTAAGGGATAAAAGAATTACTTTCAGTAGATGATATCATTCTCTCCTTCATGTGCAGCCCTGGTTCTGGGACTAGGGGGACAAGACAGTTCTTATATCCAGAGAATGCTGCTTTGAGTAGGATTTATTCATGAGAATGTACCTTGCCTGTCCCTTTGAGAGAAGCCTGTTACATTCATCATAGTAACCCTTTTGTAGCTATGTCCTGATTGACTGAATTAGTAGAATTATGTAGTCTTCTTACTCGAATAGCAGTTGGAAAACTGGTTGAGGCAGGCTGGGTTTTAATACAGCAGGAGGAGGTCATGGTATGGAGAGGAAACCCAGGAAGAGGAACTGGCAGGTTTAGAGCAACAAAGGGCAATAGTGAAGCTGAGGCTGGACTCTATGGTGGACGCAGAGTGATTTAACACTGCTTCTTAAGATTCTCACACCTCTGATGAAAAGAATCGTTTTGTTTGGTCGATTGGTTTTCTTAAATTTTGAATTTGTTGAGGACCAATAGTTTTGTAAAATCCAGTAACAATAAATTAATAGGAAAAAATGATCTTGTGGCCTGACACGGTGGATCACCCCTGTAATCCCAGTAATTTGTCATAGGATTGAAAAAGAAATTAGCCAGGTGAGTGATGTACACCTGTAGTTCTAGCTACTCAGGAGGCTAGAACTACAGGTGTACATGACCTGTACAAGTGTACAAGGTGGAGGATACAAGGTGGAGGATCACTTGAGCCCAGGGTGCAGTGAGCAGTGATCTCACCACTGCATTTTAGCATTGACAGAGTGAGACTTTATCTCTGAACATAAATGCATAAATAAAAATGATCCCAAGATATTAAGGCTTCTAAGTGCTTACTTTCTATTTATGTACACATCTCATTGTGAACCAGTTTAAAAAAAAACCAGTTCACTGACTGATACTAGGTTGTGGAGCACATTGAGAAGACTTGTTTTGGGAATAATTAGAGATGAACTGGAAAGAGGTTGGCACTAAATTGTGAAGAACCTTGTATACCATTATAAGAATTTCAAACCTGATGCCATCAAAGTTTGGACCAATCTGAAAGTCCTGCTCTTTATTATCTTCCTGGATTTGGATTGTAGATTGATTTTTCTAAAACCTTTGTGCTGAATAGATGTTTGATAAAACATGTAGTTAAAAAGCTATTTTAGCTTAGCAGTTAGTGGTTAGTGTCACATACGTTGCTCTATACATTTCAAAATTTTATAGTTAAATAATCTTGTTTTTGAAACTCGGCTTTATTTGGGTAAAGGAACACTTGATATCCCAGTTTTCCCTTCCCTTTTCTCTACCTTGAGTCTCTTTTCATAAGAGCGGGTTGTATTTTACCACAGATTTCTCAGGAGACCAGAACTGATCTGTCAGCCCTGCTGCCTTTTGTTGCTCTTCTCTTTCTTTACATTGTCTTTACAGTCACCAGGTGTCAAGATGCTGCGAGTGCAGAAGACTGCACTGGGCTGGCTAGGGGTCAGCCTCTCCAGGCATCTTCATTACAAAGCTGTGTTGGCTGTCCGGAGGGAGGATGTGAACGCCTGGGAGAGAAGGGCTCCTCTAGCTCCCAAGCATATCAAAGGCATCACCAATCTGGGATACAAGGTCTTGATACAGCCTTCGAATCGGCGGGCAATTCATGATAAGGTAAGTATTTCCAATGTTTAACATATGTGAGAATAAAATGAACCTGCATATGAAAATTAAGGAGCATCTGAGTGAAAATAAAATGTTTGCTAGTGTCATTTGATCTCTTTACTTTGGTTAGAAGTATTATTTTCACCCTATTCCTTGCTTACTCCAGCTGAGGAATAAAATAACTTACTTTTAGGAGATGATATCTTTCAGTCATTCTCTCCTTCACATGCAGCCCTGGTTCTGGGGATAGGGGGACAAGACTCCATTCTTGTACCCAGAGAATGCTGCTTTGAGAATATACCTTGCCTGCCACTCGGAGAGAAGCCCGTTATATTCATCATTCCACTGGTGCTTCAAAATAATAATATGGGATACGTGTGACTCCCATTCCCGTTTTAGTAGTGTGTGTGTGTGTGTGTGTGTGTGTGTGTATATACTTTTCCTTTTCTGAACCATTGTAAAGTAGGTCACAGACTTCATAACTCATTACTACTAAATGCTTCAGCGTGCATCTCCTCAGAATAAACCAGTTTTCTACATAGCCACCATATTATTTTCATACCTCAGAAATTAATAATTCATAATATCATCTCATGTAGTCTATGTTCAAGTTCCCCATTGCCTCAAATGTCTTTTAATTGAGGTTTAATGAAGCTTTATTGCATTGTATTGTTGTGTGTCTTTAGTTCTTCCAATCTAGAACAGCACATGCCTTTCTGACTTTGTTTCAGTGACATTGACATTGACATGGGCTCTTTTTGTTTTTTTTTGTTTTTTGACGGAGTCTTGCTCAGTCACCAGGCTGGAGTTCAGGGACTACGGGCGTGTGGCATCACACCCAGCTAATTTTTGTAGTTTTAGTAGGGGGTTTCACCATGTTGGCCAGGATGGTCTCAATCTCTTGACCTCTTGACCTCTTGACCCCCCCACCTCAGCCTCCCAAAGTGCTGGGATTATAGGCATGAGCCACCGCGCCAGCTGACATAGACTCTTTTTCAAAGAGCCCAAGACTTATAGTGTCATCTCAAACATTTTTGGCATGAATATAACATAAATGATACGTGTTCTTCCCATTGCATCACATCAAAGGCACAGAACATTAGGTTGTCCCATGGTTGGCAATGTGTGGTCACTTGGTTGAGGTGGTTACAGTGAGAGCTCTTCATTGTTAAAGTTTATTTCACCCTTTCAGATAAAAAGTCATCTGTGAGATGGTATTTTAATATCTGTAATGTTCCTATTCCTAAATAACTTTACAACTACTCATATTGGCCTCCATTGAATCTTTGCCTGAATTAGTTCTTAATGGAGACTTGTGAAGTGATGCTTTTCTAATTTTATCACTCCTCTAAGTTTGTTTGCTGTCATTCTTCTTCAAAAAGAGGTTTTCTTTTCTCTTCCACTCCTCTACTTTTTTGAGTTGTGAACTGTTTTATTACAGTATATTGAACCGTTTACCAAACTGTGACTTCTATAATTCAGTGTTTAAATATGCTTCTTTAAAAAACCTTCTTACCTTTGCATTTAAAGGCTTATTGTGAGGAGTTTACATAGGCATCTTCATGTTGACAAGTTGAATCTTAGCATGTGGCTTAAAACATGAGTCATGAAGCGTTTTATTGCAGTGAACTGAATTGTTTATCAGCGTGACATTGCATTTACTTAATTTTTGCTTTTTTGAGTATATTTTGGAATCATGAACCTTTTGCATTCAACCCATTTACCATTATTCTTTTTAATGTCTGAATTAGCCCAAATTCAGGAGAAGTCCTTTCAAGTGGCCTTCTCTATCCTTTGGATATGAATCCGTTTACCTTTGAGTTTTCCTATTTCTTAGAATAACAAATTGTCCTAGTCTCACCTTGTACCTTTCCTGCCCCACATCAGGAAATAAATAATTTCACCAAGAAGCCTTGATCTCTTTTAGTAGATAGAAACCAAGATCTGGTATGTGGTGTTAAGCATGTTTATTATTATTGAGATACCGTTGCTCTTAGGCTCTTTTAGTGTACAGAGCTTAGAAATAAACACAAGCAGATGCCCACACAAATACATATATTAGTCAATCTTAAGTTAATACTGATACTAAAAGACCTCCAGAGGAAAAAATAATGTCCAGGAAAATTAAAATTTAACATTGCAGAATTTTTTACCTTTAAAATTTTATATTTGCATCTGTTTTCTCCAACAGTAAAAATCTTAATTCTTTAATATTAATGTATATTGTTTGCTTTATCCTGTAATATATATAAAATAATGTCAGGATCACAATACTATTATTACAACTAACAGTAATCCCACTAAATGAAGTTTACTATTTCTTTGATTTTTGTTTTGTTTTGTTTTTTTTTTTGCCTTTAGAATATATCTGACAAGAACATTCAGAGTGTTGTATTAAATAACTTATTTGAATTTTTTGTGTGTGTGGTTCCATCATCAATCTATTATCCATCTAGGTTTATATATTATTGTGTCTATTCAATTTTAATGTTTGCTTTCCTATTTTTCGATTTAATTTTATTTTTCAAAGTAGAACATTTACAAATTCCAGAAATGAAGTCACATTTTCATTTTAAACCCCCACATCCAGTTCTCACCCACCCCAAAGGTTAATTTTGTTTCTGGTCTATTATTCTTGTTTCCTTTTTTGCAAGGAATTAGCACTTGTGTGTGTATTTATGTATTTATTCCCCTTTTGTTCTTCTACCTTCTTTCTTTAGTTACAACGTAACTTGAACATTGCTCTATCTAAGTTCTTAGAGATATTTCATTTCGTTTAAAGGCTGTGTGGTTAAGTACTCCGTTGTACAGATCTTGGGTTTATTTGCCAATCTACTACAAATGAGAAAATGGACTGTTTTTTAAGAAACCAGGGTTGGGAGGCCGAGGCGGGTGGATCACGAGGTCAACAGATCGAGACCATCCTGGTCAACATGGTGAAACCCCGTCTCTACTAAAATTACAAAAAATTAGCCGGGCATGGTGGCGCGTGCCTGTAATCCCAGCTACTCAGGAGGCTGAGGCAGGAGAATTGCCTGAACCCAGGGGGCGGAGGTTGCGGTGAGCCGAGATCGCGCCATTGCACTCCAGCCTGGGTAACAAGAGCGAAACTCCGTCTCAAAAAAAAAAAAAAGAAACCAGGGAGAAATTGTATGTTCATTCTTTATCTCTCTTATTCATCTCTACTTTCCTTTGAAGTAGATTCCTAATTAAATCTATATGTGGTTGAACTGCTATGGTGGATGCTCTTTTAATTCTGCTTTGGTTATACTTCTTTATTTAAAAATCAGATATGTCTGTGTATTGCTTTCATATACTAGTCTCAATTAAATGTGTAAGCCTCAGGTTTCCCATTGATTGAATGAGGATTATAATTGTACTTACCTCATGCAAGTTGTATGAAATTTAAATGAGATAATTCATGCAAAGAGCTTAGCAAAGTACACAGTAATTTATTAATACATATCAATGATTATTACTTATTATCCAATAAAGCTCATGTTAGCCATGATATTCAACCTGCATTTCCAAATCAATTTACTCATATGCTGTAAGTGTCTCTTTACTCCTCTCCCTTCATATTTTTATATGCCTTCAATGCCTCTTACTGATATCTTCTTGTGTTTCCCATTTTCATTTCTCTAAATTTTAGGTAGCCATTCAGATTAATTTAAATTTTCCTATTTCTCTGGTTATCTTACCATTCAGATTAATTTAACTTTCTTACTTCTTTGATCATCCCACCTTAGGAATTATCTCAATATCAGTTAAACTAGCATATCACTTAGATGCTGATGATCATAATGGTTGAATTTGTCATTTACTCCACTCCAGACTACTTTTTGCTGTATTTTGTGAACTCCTTTATAGAAGGGATCTTGACGATATTTCCTTGTATCTTAGCATCTCATCTCTAGCACAGACTAGTGTACAGTTAGGGCAGTAATAAATATGAACTGGGCCAAAACAATGAAAAATAAATGTTAGAATTATGTCTTATCTTTTAAAAATACAACTGAGTAATAAATCACAAATTGGCATTTACTATTTCAGTGTATTGTTGGTACAAAATATACATTCACAAGTATGCTTAAGTTACATGTGCTAGTGGATATGACCAAATTATAAACTCTTCTTAAACATATGTGTATCCTGAGTTTTCTAATTGTTTTATGCTGTAAGTGTTGAACATAATACATTTATCTTTAACCAACAAGTACAAATATTACAAGTAGTTGTTCTGTTATTTGTTCTAATTCATATAGATTTTATTCCTTCAAAAGATTTGTTGTGCCTTTATTTGCTACACATTTTATTCAAGAAAATATGGATATTACAAATCAGAATATTAACCTTTCATCATAATTAAAATTTCAGGAATATGTCAAAGCTGGTGGCATTCTTCAGGAGGATATTTCTGAAGCTTGTCTAATTTTGGGAGTTAAAAGACCTCCAGAGGAAAAATTAATGTCCAGGAAGACTTATGCATTTTTCTCCCACACAATAAAAGCTCAGGAGGCCAATATGGGCTTATTGGATGAGATTCTAAAAAAGGTAACTAATGATTAATATTTATAAATATTAATGTAGAAAAATAATATTTTTTACTTTTTATATGTGGAGATTTAGTTTCCTTTCCTTCTTTAGTTTAAGAGGAACTAAACACTGCATTCCTTTTATATTCTGAAATGGAAAGAATGATAAAAGCTTTTTCCCTAAACAGTTTATCAATTTATAAGGCCAATTGGCCACATAGTACCAAATAGAATTTTAGAGCTGAAAATAAACTCAGGGATCATATAATCTACTACCTTATTTTTCAGATGGGACCCAGAGAGGTAAAATGACTTGACTGGGTTGCACACTCTGTATGCCAGAAGTGGACTACAGACAATTTTTACATTTATTCACATTCATAAGGCAAAAATGCATTTTTGAGATATAAATACTGTGAAGAAAACTAGTAGCTGTTTAAAACACAGGATATTCATTTAACAAATATTTACTCGGTGCTGATGATGTGTCTGATACCGTTTGCTCTAGTGAAAGAGCAAAAGAGTGACGTATCCTTATCTTCACAGAGCTTACGTTGTAGTGGGAGGAGACAGATAATAAATAAATAAGATCAATATGCCACTTGGCAATGGTGTGATGAGCATAAAAATATAATATTGAAGGAGAAAAGAAGTCCTGGGCACTGGAAGGTGAATATGCTATTTTAAATAGTATGGTCAGAGGGGGCCCCATTGTGAAAGTGGCATTAAGCAACAACCTGAAGGAGGTGAAGGGATGAGCCATACACATCTGAGATGAGTATTATAAGTAGACAAAACAGTAACGCAACGGCCTGAGGGTCTTTTACACTATGGGGTTAGAGTAGACCATGTTCAAACATGCTTATTCTGTCTCATGTCAGTAATGGTTGGAGGTGGGAGGAGAAGAGCAAAATTACTAAGACGGCTGCTAACCTAGGCTGGTCTAGACTGCAGCTCACAAGTGATGGTGGCCTGCACCTGGAAGTGGTAGGAATAAAAGTTGTGATTCGTGGACAAATCTTGGATGTGTTTTAGAGGTGGATCCTACAGGATTTACTGATGACATCAAGGTGGAATATGAGAAAAGGAGAGGAGTCAGGAATGACTCCAGGTTTTGGCCTGAGCTACTGAAAGCAATTGCCATGGAATGAGGTGATGCTACTCAAAGAGAAAAAGGCTTGGGTGAGAGCTGGGTCTAGGGTCTGCCGAGTTTAATATTCTATTAGACATGTAAAGGGATAAGCCAGGTGGGCTGTAGGATATGGGTCTGAAGCTCAGGGGGGCAGCTTCTCCTGACATACATTTTGTAGTTGTCAGAGACTAGACGGTGTCTAGAGTCATGAAGACTGGATGAGCACCGGAAGGGAATACAGATAAGGAAGTCTGAGGTCCGCATCCTCAAGATGGTTGAGCTAGAATCTGAGATTAGGGCAGAAGATTGGAGAGTTCACAAACAGTAAAAGCAATGGGAAAACACATGTTATAGAGGAGTATAAAATACTTTCCAATCAACTCCAAAGACAGTAGATGTGGGTGACAGTTAATTTGTAGTGTTTCTAAAGAACGAGTTCAAAAGTAACTAATGGAAATAATACTATATGAAGAATATTCCACCTTAAGCAAATAAGGTCTTTATAAAGTACTTTGGGAACATTTTTTGTTATTTTAACTTGTTCATTATAAGAAAATTAGCAAAAACTGACCTGGCAGGGCTGCTTTTGGGCAGCATTTTGTAATCAATGACTTGGGAGTTGGATGAAGAATAAGCATTCTTAAATTCATGAACATGATAAAAATCATATGATCTTTGAGGAAATAAAATTACTGTTTAAAATACTATATAATTACAATGCACTATGATGTTTTCAGCATGAATTACTAAGACTTTCCTGGGAGGGGAAAGGTTTTCAAGGAAAGAGGAAGAATGTGATTTTAGTGGAGGCAAGGAAGAGAAATGCAGACATCATTACAGCTTTTAAGAGGAAGGTTACCTGTGAAAGGAAGCAGAGGGGAACAAAAAGAGAGGAGGAGGAGAGAAAAATATTTGTGCTTGGACTTGAGAGAGAGTGTTATTATTTTCCAGGTAATAGAGACCTGAGTATATTTAGAATGGTTGAGAAACAGTGTAAAGAGGGACGATGTGAAAAAGAGGTAACAACAGTTCAAGAGTGGTCTTGGAGGACATGAGAGAAGCTAGGATCTAGCTTGGAGATCATCTCAAAAGGGATCTGTTTTCTTTGACTATAAGGAAGGCTGTAAGAATAAGTGGGGCTACAGATACGTTAGTAGATGGTGCTGGATGGGTGGGGGCAAAAAGGTAAGGGAGATTCTAGCTTTATTATTTGATTGCCTGTCATCAAAGGGGTATAGCCCCTGCTATGATCATTTTTTCATTTCCAGTTACAAACCTACCATTGGTTTGTTACCTGGTGTTTTCTAAATATTTCATGGTATGCCTCGTGGTAACTTCTGGTAGCAAGTTAAGATATATTTCAGAGGAAAAAATGTGAAATACTTACTTACTCATATATATCTTCACTTGTCACAATTAAGCTTAATGGGTCCAGTTGGAAATTTTTTTATCCCCTTTTCAGGAAATTCGACTTATTGATTATGAGAAAATGGTGGATCATAGAGGAGTACGGGTAGTGGCATTTGGACAGTGGGCTGGTGTGGCAGGTAAGTACGTCAGAGCTTACGTCACCCACTTCCTAAATTGGCTTGGGGAATAACTGTGAGTTTTCTCTTTTCTGTGGCAAAAGAGAGTAAATGAGGATAAAGCCGTGTTTATTTCCATGGAAAATAAAATAAAAATGAAGGTATGCTGAAGGATGATGCATACAAGTGGAATAATGTATGAAGATAAATGATTAAAAATATTTAATTGCAAAAATTCAAAAGAAAAAGCAGGGAGAAGGATAACAACTACAAACAAGCTCTGATTTTTAGGTAGTTCCTTTTGAAAGGCTAGAAGGAGATGTCAGTTTGGTAATGAGATATTGGGAAGTAGAGACAGGGAAAAAGAGAAAGGGAAAAAAGGTCCAGGGACAGGAATTTTGTCCAGCTAACATTTTGAACCTTTCTTGGTCAAGAAACCCCACAATATGTTATAGCTCTATTTCAGATCACACTACTTGCAGATCTAATAAGGGAGTTGATGACTTTGGCATTGTTTGACCTTGGAAAATTCCTTATTATGGTTTATGTCATTTTGCTTATTATTAATGTTATTCTCAAATCCACCTGCTTCCTAAATAATAAAGAAATCTAAGCAAAAATTTAAAGCTCATAAAATGGTTTCACTTAAAACCAATTAAGGCAGGGTATAGTAGCTCATGCCTATAATCCCAGCACTTTGGGAGGCTGAGGCAGGCGGATCATTTGAGGTCAGGAGTTTGAGACCAGCCTAGCCAATATGGTGAAACCCCATCTCTATTAAAACTACAAAAATTAGCTGGTGGTGGCGCACATCTGTAATCCCAGCTACTCAGGAGGTTGAGGCACGGGAATTGCTTGAACCCAGGAGGCAGAGTTTGCAGTGAGCCGAGATCAGGCCACTGCACTCCAGTTTGGATGACAGAGCAAAACTCTGTCTAAAAAAATATACCTTTTCTCATCCAACACACAAATCAGCTCTATTACACTAAAAGAAAATGTAATTTCTTAGTATAAAAGCAGTAGTAGAGAGATCTCTGATAACTATGATTCCTAGGGCCTTTCAGGACTCATCCAGATGAGGGTTTTATTTACCTAGATAGAATTAATACGTCAGAATTAAGCCGATTTATTTAGAAGACACCATATTCAGAACCAGGACCACATTCATCAATAGGATGTGGTTCACGTTCTTAGGGAAGTACTCAGACAAGTAAACACAAATACAATGCTACTGCTAATTGCTATATGAAAGGTATTTGAGGCCAGGCATGGTGGTTCACACTTATAATCCCAGCACTTTGGGAGGTTGATGCAGGTGGATCACCTGAGGTCCAGAGATCAAGACCAGACTGGCCAACATGGTGAAATCCCATCTCTATTAAAAATACAAAAATTAGCCAGGGGTGGTGGCAGGTGCCTGTAATCCCAGCTACTCGGGAGGCTGAGGCAGGAGAATTGCTTGAACTTAGGAGGCAGAGTTTGCAGTAAGCCGAGCTCATGCCATTGCACTCTACCCTGGAAGACAGAGCAAGACTCCATTTCAAAAATAAGAAGAAGAGGAAGAGGAAGAAAGAGGAAGAAGAAAAAGAGGAGGAGGAGGAGGAGGAGGAGAAGGAGGAAGAAGGAAGAAGAAGAAAAAGGAAGTTATTTGAACTTAGCTGTTTAAAAAGCTTTCTTTTAAAAAGTGCCTTTGAAGCTGATATTTGAAGAATGATTCAAACTATTCAAGGAAGTAGGGGAAGGCAGTACAAGTGTGCAAAGCTCAAAGTGAAGAGGGGAAAAAGAATAGTTTTAAGGAATAGAAATAAGTTCATAATTAAAATGTATATGGAGAGAAGGATATGTGGATTTTAGAAACATTTAGAAGGTGAAATTCACAGGATGTGGTGACTGATTTGATGCAGGGGTGAGGGGGTGAGAGAGACACTTTAAAGATGACATCCAGGTTACCAACTTAGGCAGTGATTCAGTTCTTTCAGTACCCACAGAAATGGAAGAAGAATTTGGAGGAAGAGAGTAAATGAGTTCTATATAGGACAATACATTAGTAGATTACAAACTAAGTTGCTGTGGTGGAGAACCCATAGAATAGAACTTACATAAGCTAGAAGTCCAGGGATGAGTAGTCTAGGGATGGTGGGATGAGGGGAAGGCTCTGCTATTGTTAACACTTGGCTTTCATTTCTAAGGTGACCCTTCAGGTTGCTATTTTCCAGTCAGTGGAAAGGGGAGAAACGAAGTGGAGGCAAGCAGCTCCTTTTCTAAGGATGTGACACAGAATTTGAACATATTATTTCTGCTCATACCCATTGGTTTAAATTGATTGAGAAATGTAATCTTTAACTGGGCAACTATGTCTGCTTCTAAAACCATGTGCTCTCCATTCATGAAGGATTAACTGAGTTCAAACTTACTATCCTGTCATTATCCAACTAGAAAAATTGGATGAGATGTTACCAAAATGTTATCAGATGTTGGACAACAGACAGTACATATTTGTAATCCTTGATAGTTGGAAAATAGATGAGGAGAGCTCTATGTTCACTCTGGCTTTCTGTCTAGAGAAATTTCCAGAGGGTGTGATTATGAGAAAGTGACACAAAGCCTGGTGGACTCACTGAGCTGAGGAGATAGGAGTTGGGGAGCCTGAGGTGGCTGGAATTGACAGCATATAGTACCAAAGAGGGGGAAGCTATGTAGAAATAGGTGTTCTAGAAATATGCTTAGGGATCTTGCTGAGTGGCGGATGAAAATTCATGAGACTGGCTGAGGAACAATTTGAGAAAAAGAACAATGCCAGGGAACTCTATGGCAAACTGTTCCCAGAGTTTGTACCATCAGCCAGAGTGGAGAGACTTCACTGAGTATATAAGGCTTTCAGGGAAAACCTGATGTGTGTGGTTAAACCATCTCTTAATAAAGCCTCTTCTAAATTCACTCCTTTAAAGGCTTAAAAATGAGCCTAATGTCTAATTTGAGAGAGATATAATTAGCGGACAAATAGATTAAAATAGGTATAATAAATGTTCAGTATATTCATGTTTTAAATGAAAACATAAACAAAATGAGAGAAATAGAAGAAATAAGTCTATCAATCAATAGACACTACAGAGGAAAATCTATACATAAACAGAGGAGTAAAGAAGATATATAGATTTTCTTCTGTAGTGTCTATTGATTTATAGATACATGATAGATTAATTTCTTCTACTCCTCATTTTGTTTGTGTTTTCATTTAAACCTTGAGCATATTGAGCAGCATCTCTGTCATTTCTTGTTTCTGGGTTTGTTTCTGTTGCTGAATATCTCCAAGTTAATGTTCCATTGCAAGACTCAAGTTTTTACTGAATGCCAGACATAGTTCATTTTACATTGTTGATTATTAGATTTTAATGTTTTCCTTTCAGGACCATTGGGGTTTGTTGTAACAGGCAATTGTTTATGGATTACGTTGATTCTCTTCAGGCTTGTTTTCCTTTCACCTCCCTCTTTTCCTTCTAGGACTCCAAATACACACATATTAGACCATTTGATCACCACCTGTCACTTAAATTCTGTTTTTTTTTTTCTCAGTCTTTTTTTCTTTTTATGCTTCATTTTGTTTAGTTTCTACTACAATGAGGAAGGAAGAAAATATCTAAATAAATAGTGACCAAAATGTTCCCATAGTTTGATATAAATTATAAATACACAGATAAGTTCAACAAACCCCAAGACAAAAACAGAAATAAAAAAGTCACAAAGAAAATGACAGTAGAACCATCATAATTGTCTTGATAAAAAACAATAAGAGAATTAAAAATAATGGGAAAAAGGCACAATATACATAGAATAACTAAGATAAACATCAAACTTCTAATCAGAAACAGTTTAAGCTAGAAGAAAATGGAGCAACATCTTTAAAGTGCTGATAGAAAACAAACCAACCTATAATTTTTACAATATCTTTCCAAAGACAGTATCTTTTCAGTATCTTTCTGGACATCTTTCTAGTAAGTGAAGATTAAATATAGATTTTCTGGTCAAATGAAAGCTAATATAATTCACTGCCATAGAAATATTTAAAAAATTTATCAAGCAGAAGAAAAATGAAATCAGTTGAAAATATGGATTGAATTAAAGAAACAAAGAACACTACCAATGGTAGAATGTAAACAAATACAAAAATTATCATATCTTATTTTAAAACTTTTCCTTATGGCTGGGCACAGTGGCTTAAGCCTGTAATCTCAGCACATTGGGGGGCCAGGGCAGGTGAATTGCTTGAGCTCAGGAGTTTGAGACCAGCCTGGGAAAAATGATGAAGTCCCATCTCTACAAAAAAATGCAACATTAGCTGGGCTTGGTAGTGCATGCCTGGTATCCCAGCTGCTTGGGAGACTGAGGATTGCTTGAGTCTGGGAAGTTGAGGCTGCAGAGAACTGTGTTCATGCCACTGCATTCTAGCCTGGGTGACAAAGTGAGTTAACTGTCTCCAAAAGAAAAATTCTTTAAAAAATAATTGATAGTTTCAAATGAAACAATGTATTATGATATACATAACACAGGTAGAAATAAAACTTATGCCACCAATAATGATGAACAGAAGAGGAATAGAAACATAGTTTTGTAAGGTTCTTTTATTATACCTGAAATGGTATGACATTACTTGATAGTTGACTATAATAAGATAAAGATGCATATGATAACCTAGAAAAATCACTAAAAACAGGACTCTAGAACTAATAAGCTAATAATGGAAGTAAAATTTTATACTAAGAAATACACAGTGCAAGCAAAAATACAAGAAAAAGCGCATAAAAAGGTACAAAGTATAAATAAAACAAGAACACAAACAGCAACATGGTAGCTTTAAATTTAGCTATATCAATATATATCATTAATGGCCTAAAAACTCCAAGATGGCCTATACAACTAATCACAAAACAATTCTTGATAAACTTAAAAGTTTGAAATCATACAGTATATATTCTAACTGTAATAAAATTGCCCTAGAAGATACTTGGATACTTTTTTATAGAAAGATACTTGGAAAATTTCCAAATATTTGGAAGATATTCAGTGTATTTTTGAATAACTGATGGGTTAAGAAGATATCATAGGAAAGTTAGAAGATATTTTTAATAGAAGAAAAATTTAAAGTACAGCTTATCAAAATGTGTGGGCTCTAAAGTAGTAATTAGAAGGAAATTTACAGCATTTAATTCTTTTATTAGAGAAGACAGTTTTAAAATTAATGATTTGTGCTTCCACCATATGAAGCTAGAAAATTAAAGAGAAATAAACTTAAAAGCAAGTAGAAATAAAAAAAAATACAGATATCAATAAAATTAATAAAATCAAAACAGGAAAAGAATAGAGAAAATCAATGAAACCAAAACCTGGTTCTCTGAAAAATATAAATAATATTGATTAACATCTCTGATTAAAAGAGAAGACACTATTTACTAAAAAGGAATACAAGGGCCATCACTATATCTTACAAATATTAAAAGGATAAAGGAATATTATGAATAGGTCAATAAATTTGGCAACCTTGATGAACTAGATAAATTTTCAAAGGGCACAGATTGCCAAAATCAGCTCAAGAAGAAATAAAAAACTTAAATATCAATGTTCAAAATAAATTCCACTAATAGGCATTTATTAAGAGAAATACCATTTTTTATACAGATAATTTTTTATAGCAACTCCATTTATAATAGCCTGGAAACAACCTAAATGATCAGCAGAGGAATAAACTGAAATGGAAATGAAAAAACTCTTCAGCAATAAACAGAAACTAACTACTGACACACACAAAATTTGTATGAACCTCAAAAACATTATGCTGAGTGAAAGCTGACACAACGTAAAAGAGTACAACTGACTGTTAAACAACACGAGTTTGAACTGCATGAGTCCACTTATATTCATGTGATCCAAAACCTGCCTTTAGAGGGGGCCACTTTTTTTTATATAGGTGGTGTCACAGGAATGACCGTGGGACTTCAGTATGCCCAGATTTTGACATATGCAGGGGTCTTAGAACCAACCCCCTGCATATACTGAGAGATGACTGTTTAAAATTTCATTTATATGAAACTTTAGAAAAACCTAATCTATTCAGAGAGAAAGATCAGTTGTGGAGACCTGAAGTTGGTGAAATACTCTGCATCTTGATCATGGTAGTAATAACACAGATGTGTATATTTGTTAACAGTTACCAAACTATACAGTTTAAATGGGTGCATTTTGTTGTATATAAACTATTTCTTTATAAGTTGACTTTAGAAAAACAATAAAAGAAAATTTGGTAGGGATGCGTGTGTGTAGGGGGTGGGGAACATGGAAAGTTCTTTCATAAAAAGAATAAGGAATGAATGGATGCTGAGGTTTTTGCTACAGGCACAAGAAGGTGTCTGGCTAGGTTTTGAAATCAAAAGAAAAATCTGTTTTGGAGAAACAGACTTGAGGTCATCTGCATATAGATAGTACTTGAAATTTAGGACTAGATGAGATTACCTAAGGTCATCTAGGGACAAATGTAGATATGAAAGAGAATAGAGCTCAGTACAGAATCCTGAGGGTGAATAATGGAAAAGGAGTTGGCACAGGAAGAGGAACCTACAGAAAGGTAGGATAAAAAAAATTGAAGTTGGGATGCTGAGGGGCACTCTGTTTCCACAAAGAAGAGGTCTGCATTGCCAAGTACTTCTGACCTGATTTACAATACATTGTAGATCACTAAATAGATGATGGGAACCCTAGGGTTAATGGTGACTTAGTTTTTGTTTGTTCATTTGCTTTTGGTATGGGAGGCATGGCAGCATGTTTAAATGCTGATAAGAATGAAGCAATAGGGAAGGATAGTGAAGGGTTGGGATCTGGAGACAATGTGGAGAGATTAGCCTTAGATTAGAAGAGGAACATTCTTTGTATTTTATCAGGATTGAAGGTGAAAGGAATAGGTGGGGATGCATTTGGGTTAGTGCATTTGATGTCAGAAAGTTGAGAGGATGGATAAGATCTACAGACGCCTCTTCCAAATCTGAGATGCTGTATTTGTGCTCTGCAGGGCACTATGCAGATTGGAGAATGGGCAGAGAGGACAGCTTAAATTCTTCACAACTAATAGTCTTTCTATTGGTCTGATTCCGTAACAGGGATGATCGACATTTTACATGGAATGGGTTTAAGGCTCCTTGCTTTGGGACATCACACACCTTTTATGGTGAGCAATGTTTATTTTGCTTATTTTTTTGAAAACACATCTCACTCTTTAAGAATTAAAAAGAGCTGGTGGACTAACTTGTGTTGTGTATGTTTCTTTTCAGCACATTGGCATGGCTCATAACTACAGGAATAGCAGTCAGGCTGTGCAAGCTGTCCGTGATGCTGGCTATGAAATATCTCTAGGTTTGATGCCTAAGTCAATAGGGCCCTTAACATTTGTGTTCACAGGAACTGGTAATGTTTCTAAGGTAAATTTTACCTGACTTCCTTCTGTAAACAATCCAAAACTCTGAAACTAACCCTAATGATGTGGGCAGGCATTTTGTGGGTATTTCAAATGGACTGAATGAAATTTTTGGTACTTTTCTCACCAACATATTTTTCTCATAGTGAAAAGTAGTAATGATCCAAATATGTATATATGTACGTGTGTGTGTATATATGTGTGTGTGTGTATGTATATATGTGTGTCTATCTATACACACATACATAGACACATGTAGTTTTTAGTTGATGGCTAGGTATCTGAGTCTTGGAATACTTTTTCTTTCTTTGTTTTTCTTTTTTTAAAAGAGATATTTCAGCTGGGTGCAGTGGCTCACGCCTGTAATCCCAACACTTTGGGAGGCCAAGGCAGGTGGATCACCTGAGGTCAGGAGTTCGAGACCAGCCTGGCCAATATGGTAAAACCCCATCTCTACCAAAATTGCAAAATTAGCCAGGCATGGTGGTGCACACCTGTAATCCCAGCTACTAAGGAGGCTGAGGCAGGAGAGTCACTTGAACCTGGGAGGCAGAGGTTGCAGCAAGCCAAGATGGCACCACTGCACTCCATCCTGGGTGACAGAGCGAGACTCTGTCTCTAAATAAATAAATAAATAATTAAATAAATAAATAATAAATAAATAAATGAGATAATTCATTGTTAATAGCAAAAAGGTCTATTCTGAGTGTGATCGGTTTTACCTTCATTGCCAATATGTCCAAGAGTTTGAAAGTGACCTCACGATGTTCAGTTTTCAAGACTACTCAGAGTTTTGCAAACAAGATGTTAAGAAGATGCATTTAAGACTGGAATTCATACTTTCTTCCTTCTCTGGTGGTTTAAGAATATATTTGTAATCTCCTATAGAAACCTGTAATTGTAGAACAATTCCTTCTTCAAAGAAAATATTTTACAAATAGAATATCATTATTCATATTATATTGTGAGGTAAGCATCCGATTATTTCCTTTGTAGGAAATATAGTTTTCCCATTTGAAATAATTTCTACAGTGGATTTAAAATAAATGGAAATATTTTATTGTGCCCTCATTTCTAAATACTCTGATCAATTCTCTGAGTGACTTAATTAAAAAATAAAAAACATTAAAGCCCCTTCTAATGTGTGTTGTTCAAAGAGAAATAAAAGCTAGCTAGCAGACTGCTTGCAAGCAGCTCATCTCTATTTCTATGTTGCAATTCTGCTTGTAGGGAAGGCAAGTGGAGCTATATGATTATTGGGAAAATGATCAGAATCTTTGCAGAAAACCATATTGGTTATTTTTCTATTGATTTTTTAAATTTTTATTCATGTGTTATTTGTAGGGAGCCCAGGCAATCTTTAATGAGCTACCTTGCGAATATGTGGAACCCCATGAATTAAAAGAAGTTTCCCAAACTGGAGGTAAAGGACAGGGGATGACTAACTTTTCATGTTTTTAACAGTCTCTGTGTTATAATATTTTATCACCATACGTTTTTATTGTCATCCACTTTACTAATTTCTTTCTCCTTTGCAAGACCTCAGAAAAGTGTATGGGACTGTGTTAAGTCGCCATCATCATCTTGTCAGGAAAACAGATGGTGTGTATGATCCTGCAGAGTATGACAAGCATCCTGAGCGCTACTTAAGTCGTTTTAATACTGATGTGAGTATGGTGGTCAGCTTTTAAGTTGGTTGCTTATGACACAGTGTAGGGAGGCTGTTTTCAAAAAGAGAAATTACAAATTGTACATGGCTTTCAGTTTTCCTGTTGTAAGACCTTTGGGTATCACGAGTTGGCCTTTGGAGCTGTTGTCTTTTAGGGGCATTTTAGTGCTTTTGGTGGTTTCTGTGGACATACTCTTTGTTTCACTGTCTCCATTTCTGCCTCAGGTCTATACGTGTCCAATAGCTCTAAGCCATTTCCTGTGGGTTACTGTTTTCGGTATTTATCCCAGACTAGTTAGCCCTGTGGGCAGAGCACAGTGCATATGAGGTTTGGTCTCAGGTCTCAACATGGCCACAAATTACAACCGTAATCTCAGCCAGCAATCTTGAAATGCATGCCATTGATTCAGGGGGTGAGCGTGACATAGTGTGCCTGTATAAGTGCAGACCATCCCCACTGTATGGAAAAGCTATTATACTTACAAATTAAATCCTTTGATGGGACACACCGGCCTTATCTTAAAAGAAATAAAATAATATTCGTGTGTTCTATACTCGTTGGCCATGCAACAATCTTCCCCCAGATAAACTAACCAATCAAGAAATAAATTTTAAAAAATGCATGCATTTATTGTGAAAAGGAATGCTTTAAATAATTTTAAATATGTTTGACCAATGTAGCATTTTTATATTTTAGTATGACGTTTAACCCTTATATTATGAAGAGCATGTTAGAGAGAAGAACTTTTCTTCAGTTTGAGATGTTTGAAGAAGAAAAATTATGAACGTAGTTTCAAACTGAAAAATTTTGAATCTGGGAAATCTTTGTTCCTTCCCATTTCTCCAATCACGGAAGTATTGGTGATTGGATGCATCCTAAAACTGAGAATGAGCTAGTTACCATGTATGCATGTGTGTAGCACATTTCTCAATGGAGTTTACAGATGTTATCTGAAGGAATGGGGTATGAATTATCCCCATCTGGCAGGTAAGAGAATGGAGCCCAGAGAAGTTGAGGGAGCATGATTTAGGTCATACCTGACAGGTAGGAGAGCTGGAGATAGGCTTTTAGGTCCACTGTTCTGTGTGTTGGTATGTTTTTTTGTCCTTTTTCTTTGGCGTGCAGTACTTTATAGAATGAACATATTAATGTATTTATGGTCACATATTTCCCTGTCATGGGGTAATTCTACACTGAAATCTGGGTGTAGAATTATTATCTTTACCTCAAAAGATGGACACTGACCTGGACAATACGAAAATCAATTAGAAGTGATATTTAATTATTTCTCATAGACTTTACTGATAGCTCTCTTTCAGCATACTGTATTAAAATGGGTTATTTTCTATTTTCTTGAATCTGGAACTTACATTACAGATCGCACCCTATACAACTTGCTTAATTAATGGAATCTACTGGGAACAAAACACTCCTCGCCTCCTAACTCGCCAAGATGCTCAGAGTCTCCTGGTTCCAGGCAAGTTCTCAGCTGCTGGTGTGGAAGGCTGCCCCGCACTACCGCATAAGTAAGCACTCTACTTCAGCAACGATGGCGGTTTTTACCAGCTGCTTCCATTATTAGAGGATCAAAGAATGTGATGTCCCCTCATATCACAGGACTTGATTTCTAATGACTACATCTCTGCCTTATCTTTCTTGACCTCTTGCCAGTACTCTACATTGTTAACCATCCTTCCTTCTTTATTTTAAATTTTACATATTTATTTTTAGAGATGGGGTCATGTTTTGTTTCCCAGGCTGGTGTAAATCTCTAGGCCCTAAGCAGATCTCATGTTTTGGCCTCCCAAGGTGCTAGGATTACAGGCACGAGTCAACATGCCCAGCCCAGCCCCACTTCTTGAAACACTCTTCTTTTGATTTCTGTGATGCTGCATGCAGCTCTGAAACCCTCTCCTCAGAGAAATCTTTTCTCTTGCTTCTCCATTCCCATCTCTATCTCTAGTTCGTTACTCTTGTTTTTTGTTTTGAAGTTTCTCATTTATTTTCTCATGTTTATGATTTTTCTCCCTCTTCCTAGAACTTAATCTCCTTAAGGATAGGGGGTTTGTTTATCTTGGCCACAAGCACCTAGTACATTGCCTGATATATAATGGGCATTCAAATAATTGTTAAATATTGAATGAATTAATTAATCAACAAATATTTGTGGAGGAGTAAAAGATATGTTTGCTTTTCTAGGCATGTAACTGGCATCCGGTAAATGCCAAGGGAATGCTAGGAGCAATAATATCACCAGGGTTTAGAAGAAAGCAGAAGCTGGGCTCAGCAAACCTTAAAGGGAAAAGTGAGGAGAACAAGAATTCCAAGTGAAAGGATTGGTGCTTAATAACTATGGAGACAACAAAGCATATATAGAAAGTTAAATGTGACAGTCTAGCTCTACATAGGTTCATGTATACAAGTGGTAATTGGAGATTGTACAGAAAAATTGTAGTCAACCCTTTTCAATGCTGGACTGAGACTGTTGTTCATAATTCTAAAAGTTTCTGTGCAATCACATGTAAAACTATGCAATACTAAACAGGGCGGAGGTAGCATAATCGAACCTTTCTGAGTTATTTAGAGACAGCTAACTATATTAACTTGTCTATTAAGGAGTTATCTAGGGAAGTGATTTTCTGCTTTTGTTTTTCTCTTTTCTTTCTTTTTTTTCTTGTGGAGATTAAAACTCACATTGGGAAGAGTTTCTGTATCACGGAACAGTACAAAAGAATGAGATACAGAAAAAATGCCCAAGAGCCTGGAAAATATTCGGCATCCACATTGAAAATCGTTCAAAACTCCTCTCATTTTTAGTCTTGTTGTAGACTTCAGAATTCCATCCTCTCATCTTAGTATTGATGTTATTTGCAGACTTGTGGCAATATGTGACATTTCAGCTGACACAGGAGGGTCTATAGAGTTTATGACTGAGTGTACAACAATAGAGCGTCCTTTTTGCATGTATGATGCAGACCAGCATATTATTCATGACAGGTGAGTTTGCTAAAGTTGTCATATGGTATTCATCACTTAGTTACATTGATATACTACTCTAAAATGCTCAGTATTTTACATCTTCATGAAGCTATGAAAATTTGGAGAGAAATACTCAAACATAGGAAAATTTGGTAAAAAATTGCAAATTTAAACACTTAAATATATATATAGTATATATATACACATGGTGTATATGTGTGTATACATATATACATATAGTATATATATGTATGTATACATATATACATATAGTGTGAATATGTGTATATATCGTATATGTGTATATACTGTATATATAAACGGTATGTGTGTATATACAGTACATATATACTGTATTTAAATGGGAGATGGGTTACTGAAGAAGGAAAATGTTTTGTTTGAAACATTTTGGTTATTTTCTCATATACTTTTATACAAAATTACAAATGACAATGAGCAAATATAGTGGAGTAGGCATCGAGAAAAGTCAGAACTTACAAGTAATGTTTTGTGTTTCTGAATAAACCATATTGCTTTTCTTAGCGTTGAAGGCTCTGGGATCCTGATGTGTTCTATTGACAATTTGCCAGCACAGCTCCCAATTGAAGCTACAGAGTGCTTTGGAGACATGCTTTACCCTTATGTTGAAGAAATGGTAAGCAGACTGGTAATATCAGTAACAACTCTGTGGCTTTAAATAGAATAATGGAGTGATTCTGTGAATGTTCTGGTCTTCTAAGATATCTGTTGTAAAATGAAATGCCAGCCCTTCCCTGAAATACTTACTGATACTATTTTATTTGACATATTCCGCTTACTTAGCTCTTGGGGGATATGATGATATCACTGTCTTCGTGCTTCATTATAATTACATCTCTCTCCCATTATAGGTATTTTATTAAGAATATTCATGAGATAAAACATGCTTTATTTTTAATTATTTGCTGTGTAGGTCAGTTCATGTCAGGAGACTCTTACTGTGTCATAATAACCAGATCTGGAAAATTAGAAACATAGAACGTTTTATTAAGTTCTGGTCACTAATGGTGAGTTAAGTGACAGCTTATGTTGAGGTCATGTAGTTTTCTGTGATCAGTGATTAGCTAATGAAATACCATGTTATCTATATTTCATTTTCTTTATCCAAGAAAATTATCTTTTATTTCAGTTTTTATTCTAAGCATTCCTAGCCATCCTGCCTTATTTTTATTCCAGACTGTCTGCCTCTGCCAATGATTCTAATATAAAGAATGGCTCTTGTTCTTTTCATCTATATCTTCATTCATAAGGTCTCACACTATTAATAGAACAGTAGTTAGTGGGGCAAGAATAAATGAATTTTCAGTCTGTGATCTTATTTTCTTTCAAATAGTATTCCATTTGGACCTTTCTTTTTCCTATTGGAATATATCAACAAGGAGGTGTAGCAGGCTTGAGAAGATGCAGGTAGCAGGCACTGTCACAGTTAGACATGATATTATACCTACTATGTACAGGAAGCATTCAAAGTACTAAATATATTTTAATTTTAAGTACTCATGAGAACCATATTAGGTAAGTACCATCATTAAACCCATTTTACATATTATAAAACAAATACAGAGAAGTTAAGGATGAGAAGTGTTGCTTATGCAGTCAGTGCTGGATCTGCTTTGTGTCTGGAGCTGGTGCTGAGGGATTAGAGAAGCAGGGGAAGGAGAGTGCCAATGCTGGACTTTTCTGGAGACATCAACTTGTTTTATGGCCTCGAGCAGGACACTCACTTCCTTTCTGACCCTCAGATATTTTATCTGTAACATGAGGTGCTTGTAATGAATATATAATCTTAACAGTTTCTCCAGTTCTAAAATTCTATAATAGTAAATGTTTAAGTGGCCAAACTGTATGTGTATAAAAAATGTGGTAGTATATTTACCAAGATGTTTGCTATTTTTGATACTCTTCATTCATTTCCCATTGGCATCATTTCCCTGCAGACTGAATAACATAATTTATCACTGCTTATAATACAGGTTTGCTAGTGACAGATTTTCTTAGTTGTCCTGTATCTGAAAATGGCTTCATATTCTCTATTCCACTAATCAGACTTTTCTGTGCATTTTTTATTTCTGATGCTCTATTTTCAGTTCTAGAATTTCCACTGGGTTCTTTTAAAAAAATTGTTTCGGTATTTTCTCTTTCTCTGCAGAGAGTTTCTATCTTTTAATTAGTTATGAATGTGGTTTTTTTATTACATGAAACATAGTTATAAAAACCATTTTACATTCTTTATCTTATATTTCCAACTTTCTGGGTCAACTTGGGGTTGAACTTTATTGATTTTCTTTTCCCTTGAGACTGGGTCATAGTCTTCTGGTTTTCATAAATGTAATAATTCTGGATTGTGGCCTGGATGATGTGGATATTATGTACATTTATCAAATGCATTTTCTGTATTCACTGAGAAGATTATTTTTTCCTTTGCTTTGTTAATATGTGAATTGTGTAGGTTTTCAAATATCAAACTAATTTTACATTCTTAAGATAAATCACACTTGGTTGTATGTTAATCTTTTATTCATGACTAAGTTCAGCTTGCTAAGTAATATACCAAAATATATTAATCGATCTTACCATTGGTAGACATTTGGGATTGTTTTCTTTTGGGGGATTTTACTAATAATTTGACTATAAAGATTTTTTGACATGTCTTTTGGTGTGTATATATGCATATATATCTCTACATTATTTTGTTGAGTTCATTCTTATAGTTATCTTATTTATGATTACCAAAGTCTATGTTCATTAGAAAGCTGAATCTTTAACTTTATTTTATTATAAGGTCTTTGTCACGTTTGGATATTAAGGTTATGTTGGCCTTAAAACAAGTTAGAGAGTATTTCCTTATTTTTGGTCTTAGGAACATTTTACATGAGATTAGTGTTATTTCTTTTTGATACAGTTTATTGGCAAAACGAATTGGGTTGGGAGCATTTTGGTTTGTTTCTCTTTTGTTTGAGTTTAAGGGTAAGTTTAAAAATTATATATTACAATTTATTTAAAAACTTAAGGACGTTCAGATTTTCATTTTTCTTCTGTCAGTTTGGTATGCTTATTTTCTAGGAATTTATATCCATTTCATCTAAGTTGTAAACTTTATTATCACAATATTTTTTAGTAATAACCTTATTATCTCTTTTATAGATTCTGTAGTGATTTCTCTTTTTCCAAAACTGTTGTTAGTTGGGTATGCCTTCTGTTTTATCTTAATCTGCTTTACTTGGAATTGATCAATTTTATTAGTCATTTCAAAAAATCAGTTCAACTTTGGTGATCATCTCTATTTTATAACATTTTCTATTTTCTTGATTTCTGATGTTACCTTTACTATATTCTTTATTTTACTTTATTGGGAGCTTTGTTAAACTTTCTTTTCATAACATCTTGCAATGTGTGCTTAGGTAACTATTTTCCTATGTTTCTCTTTAGCAATATGTGCATTTTAAAGCTATAAGCTTTACTCTGAGTACAGCCCATTTTTGATTATATTACTTGTTGTTTTGTTTTTGAATTCTTTGACTTTCTTGTATATTCTGGGTATTACTTCCTTGTGAGATGTATAGTTTGCAAATACTTTCTCCCATTCTGTTGTTTCTTCACTTAATGGATTTTTTTTTTTTTTCTGTGCAGAAGCTTTTTAGTTTGGTGGAATTCCATTTATCTATTTTTGGGTATTGTGCTTGTGCTTTTGTGGTCTTATCCAAAAAAATTCTAAACCAGGTCAATGTCATGAAGTATTTCCCCTATGCTTTCTTCTAGTAGTTTCATAGTTTTAGGTCTCCCATTTAAGTGTTTAATCCATTTTGAGTTGATGTTTTTATATGGTGAGACATAGGGGGTCTAGTTTTATTCTTCTAAATGTAGATATCCAATTTTCCTAGCTCCATTTATTAAAGAGACTCTTCTTCCCTTAGTGTTTGTTCTCAACACTTTTCTCCAAAACTGGTTGGATATAGATGTATGTATCTCTTTCTGGGCTTGCTTTTCTGCTCCATTGGTTTATGTGTCTGCTGTTATGCCAGTACCATGCTGTTTTGGTTACTTTAGTTTTGTAATATATTTTGAAGTCAGGTAGTGTGATGCCTCTAGCTTTGTCCTTTTTGCTAAAGATTATGTGACAATGTGGGGACTTTTGTGGTTTCATACTAGTTTTAGAATTGTCTTTTCTATTTCTGTGAAGACTGTCATTGGTTTTTTGATAAGGATTGCTTAATTTATAAATTGCTTTGAGTGGTATGGGCATTTTAACAATATAAATTCTTCCAATTCATGAACATGGGAATATTTACATTTGTTTTTGTTTTCTTCAATGTCTTTCATCAATGTGTTATAGTTTTTAATATAGAGACCTTTCATTTTCTTGGTTAAATTTATTCTTAGGCATCTTATTTTTGTTGTGACTATTGGAAATGGAATTTTTCTTTCAGATTTGTTAACTGTTGGTATATAGAAATGTACTAATTTTTGTATATTGATTTTGTATTCTGCAACTTTACTAAATTTATCAGTTCTAGCAGTGTTTTAATTAAGTCTTTTTTGGGGGATTCCTAACCTTTTTTTTTTATTGCATTTTAAGTTTTGGGGTATATGTGCAGAACATGCAAGATAGTTGCATAGGTACACACGTGGCAGTGTGATTTGCTGCCTTCCTCCGCTTCACACACATCTGGCATTTCTCCCCATGCTATCCCTCCCCAACTCCTCCCACCCCACTGTCCCTCCCCTATTCCCCCAATAGACCCCAGTGTGTAGTGTTCCTTCCCTGTGTCCATGTGTTCTCATTGTTCATCACCCGCCTATGAGTGAGAACATACGGTATTTCATTTTCTGTGCTTGTGTCAGTTTGCTGAGAATGATGTTCTCCAGACTCATCCATGTCCCTACAGAGGACACGAACTCATCATTTTTGATTGCTGCATAATATTCCATGATGTATATGTGCAACATTTCCCCAGTCCAGTCTATCATCAATGGGCATTTGGGTTGGTTCCACGTCTTTGCTATTGTAAACAGTGCTGCAATGAGCATTCGTGTGCACGTGTCCTTATAGTAGAATGATTTATAGTCCTTTGGATTCATACCCAGTAATGGTATTGCTGGGTCAAATGGAATTTCTATTTCTAGGTCCATGAGGAATCACCACACTGTATTCCACAATGGTTGAACTAATTTACACTCCTAACAGCAATGTAAAAGTCTTCCTATTTCTCCACATCCTCTCCAGCATCTGCTGTCTCCAGACTTTTTAATGATCACCATTCTAATTGGCGTGAGATGGTATCTCAATGTGGTTTTGATTTGCATCTCTCTAATGATCAGTGATGATGAGCATTTTTTCATATGTGTGTTGGCCTCATGTATGTCTTCTTTTGTAAAGTGTCTGTTCATATCCTTTGCCCTTTTCTGAATGGGCTTATTTGTTTTTTTCTTATAAATCTGTTTGAGTTCTTTGTAAATTCTGGATATCAGCCCTTTGTCAGATGGGTAAACTGCAAAAATTTTTTCCCATTCTGTTGGTTGCCGATTCACTCTAGTGACTGTTTCTTTTGCTGTGCAGAAGCTGTGGAGTTTCATTAGGTCCCATTTGTCTATTTTGGCTTTTGTTGCCAATGCTTT